ACTGTTGCAGGTAAATTTTTCACCCGAATCGTTTTACTTCCACCTGTTTCCTTTGAAGAGTTTGCACAATACAAAAACCTGTCGACTATTTGTTCCCATGCACCAACACCAAACATTACTTGAGGACGCTCTTGCATCCATAGATGTATAAATAGAACCTACTGGGTTCATTAAATCAAACATATGAGATATTATAGGATTGTCTTTTTTGAACTTAAAATATAGTGCAGCTATTTCAGGTTTCTTCTGGTTTGTGTCAGAATATTTTTTATAATATAATCTTATGTTTTTCAGGGTAGGTAAAATCTTGACTATAATATTTATTTCTGTCATCTGTATAATAATATACTATTCTCGTTTTTTCTATTGCATTATATCTTTTATATCTATAATAATCTAAATATAATGTTAGCTTTTGTTCATCTAACATGTGGTGTTCTGTTCATCATCCATAGTCATAATAATGTGGTGCTGGAGCTGGGTCAGGCAATGTCATATCTGCCATTTCATAAACTCTTAAATATTTCTTTTGTTCGTCTCCATATAAGTTTAAGTAGCAGTTGTTGTCTAATGGAACTTTAACTTGTGTACCATCATTCTTTTTATAGCTTACATACATTTCATTGTTATTTTTCGGAATGAATTTATACCGTGTACCATTTTCTAAGGACTGTACCAACTGCCATCTAAAATATTTATTTTCTTCATTGACAGAAAGTCACCAACAATAGTTTTCAATATTTTTGTTCCTATCAAACTTTGGTATATTTCATTGACATATGTTTTATCTGCTTTATTTTCAAGGCTACGTTTAAGTCTGTTATTTCAGAAGATGTATGTGTATGTCAACGTCACTTTTCCTGTTTAAGGGTTTCTTGTAAGTTTGTAATATTTGCAATGGTATGTGTATGTCCAACGTCACTTTTCCTGTTTAAGGTTTCTTGTAAGTTTGTAATATTTGCAATGGTATGTGTATGTCCAACGTCACTTTTCCTGTTTAAGGTTTCTGTAAGTTTGTAATATTTGCAATGGTATGTGTATGTCCAACGTCACTTTTCCTGTTTAAGGTTTCTTGTAAGTTTGTAATATCAGATATAGAATGTGTATGAGTCTTATCTGCTTTTGTCTCTAATGTTTCCTTAAGACTTGGTGTTTGGTTAATATAATGTATATGAGTCTTTTTAGAATATTCGTTTTCAGCTCTTGTCACTTCACTTAACATTTTATTGTCAACATATGTTTTGTCTGCTAGTTCAGGATGAGTATGTTCTTTTGTTGCATAAGCATTGTTAGCTCTTTCTTCTTCTTTTGCTATTGCATCGTCTACATATTCTTTGTCAGCTTTGTTGTCAACATCTGCTTTCAAAAGAAGTTCATTTATAGGTTTCTCGTTTAAAGTTCCTTTTGTTGGATTTATACAGACAGTATGGTTCTTATTGTCTTGAAATAGAAACTCATCTGTCATTGGGTTTATTGTCAGTTTTAAGTCACCCCCTTTCAATGACTCAGATATCTTAGAATAGTTTGAAAAGTTTGTTGTGTTCTTATTTAGAGCTTGCATAATGAGTTGTCGGTTGTGTTGTATTTCTCTCATAGACGCTGTTTCATTTGACATTTTTATTATAGATAAAATATGCTTCCAATAGAAAAAGAAAATTCTAGAGTTGCTACAACTAAACCATTAGATGAACTTTTTACTAATGTCGGTCAAAAGTTTGAGACAGATACCGTAAAGCATGAAGGCTATCGTTTTGACTACCCATTAAGATGGTTAAGAGACCCATCCGTCACAAAAGCTATTGGCTTTCGTAGAATGAAGTTCATTTCAGAAGCCATACATGGTTTCCCATTTACGGTCGGTTTTGAAGTTCGATACTATAACAAAGAAAAACGTATGTATGAGAAATTTGAACAGGGAAAACCTTTACAAGTTAATTTGCTTATAAACTTAGAAACAACTCTTCAAGCTTTTCAAGAAAAAATAAACGATATCTATATTGAATATGCAAACCAGTTTAACATTGACGAAGGAGAATACCATCTCGATATTATTTATGACAGGAAAAATGCAACTGTTAAAATCAATAAAATAGAAGACCTTGGAGAAAACGTTTATATTTCTACAAAATATAACAACTTGGCATGGTATAGATTTATGAGGATGTTAAATCAGCCTGCAGCATATCCAGTACACCCGGACTATTATGAAGTCGAAAACCCTAATGGAACATATGAAAATATTTTCGACCCAGATGCTATTATTGTTCATGCTTCATTTTCTGGTGCGCAAAACTCTTTCTTATGTCTGATGAATGACTTTTACGAAAAACCTACAAAGTTATACGAACCACCAAGTGGAAGTATTTCAGACTTTCAAGTATGGTTTACTACAGATGGAAGAAAAAGAATAATTCCATTATACCATGCGTTTTACTTAGAACTTAGTTTCATATACAACTACTATCGAACGGTAAAAATATAATTTTTTAATACGGTTGAGGTGTTGGATTTGGTTGCCAACTTGACTGTGGTGCAGGTTCAGGCTGTTGTATTACAGGAGCTTGTTCTTCTGGTTCAGGGTCTTTAGGTATAATACCAACAAACTGACCTACTCTTTTACCAATATTTTTGACACCGTTCCATACTCCTCTTCCGACAGATTTTATTCCATTCCATATACCTCTTCCAACATTTCGAAAGAAGTTTCCAATACTACTGAAGAAACCCATTTTACTATATGTAAAAATCTAATGTCCGCCTAGTCTCTTACGTTTCCTGTTGAGTTCCATAGCATTCTTTAACTGGAGCTCATACATTCTGTTTCTCCTCTGGTAGAAAACATATTCTGGGTCAACTCCTGTGTTCGCGTCATCTGCATAAAGTTGTTTATATCCCACTTCAGGGTTTGTATAAAACTCTTTCCATCTCATATTTGCATACCATGGTGGCAAACCCAACGCAGCGTCATTTGACATGGCAGTTTGCATTTGTACATCTGTTGGCACTTGACCATAGTTTGCCATTGCAGTTTGTATTCTAACTTCATTTGGAATATTCTCTGGGTTTGGTTGTCCAGGTTGCTGTGCATTCGCTAAGTTCTGTGCGTCCATTTAATATTAGATAAAAATATCTCTTACGAGTACATATGCTGAACATTTGCAGGCATTGGTTCATCTTCATATTCTCTGTACTTTTCTGCCACGTCCAATAAATAAATGACACAATGGAAAAAACCTAAAACAAGTAGTCCTATTTCAAACCACATTTACTTACTAATAAAATTTCTTTATTGTGACACTTTCTCCGGTTTATAGGACCTCTCTCATATTCTATCTTGTTATATATAAACTCATAGTCATGTATGTCCTCTAACCATCTCATAACGGTTTCCAAACCACTTTTATCGGATGTAAAGTAAAAGCATGGATGGTTATGTATAACGTCTAAAGTTTCTAAAGAGTCTCTCAAAGTCCAGTCTACTTGGTATTGAAAATCCCATGTGTTATAGAACGGCGGGTCCACTATAAAGAAAACATTTTCCTTGTCTTTATATTTTTCATACAACTCTGTCCAATGACATCTCACAAACTCTATACCCTCAATATATTTTTCTATGTCCTCTTTGAAAACATTTGTATAGTTAAGATATAAAACTTTTGACATAAGTGTTTCAATGTCATGAACTCTTATAGCACCACTATATAATAGTCTAGCAGATATACTATCCCAGTCTATATATTCTGCTTTTTTCAAAACCTCTCTCACAATATTTTTCTTATCTAATGGTATACGTTCCATCTTACCTATAGGTATCTTTTCTTTTAACTCTTTCAATATATTGTTTGTGTCTGGAATATGTTTGAGACGGTTCATATAGTTGTCGAAGTCATTGCATATAATCTTTGAGTCAGGAAATACGGTATGACATAAATGGGATATATAGAAACTTCCACCGAACAAATCTACAAATGTTAGACCATTCGGTAGTTTCTTAAGTTCTCTCAATATAATATCTTTACATCTACTCTTATTTCCAAAGAACGGTAACGGTGGTTTTGTAAAATTCATTTATATATAATAATAAAAATGTTTTTACCCGAAAAGTGACAGAAAAGTGACAAAACATGAAAACATATATAATTTGTGAAAAGCGACACAAAAAGTGACATTTTAAAAAGTGACACCATTAATATGATGTAAATAACAACGGTTTTGGTTTTGTCACCGGCTGGTCGGCTGGGGTTCGGTCCTCCTCTTGGGTCTTGGGCAAAATTTCTTATGGGCTAGAGGGCGCAACGCGCCTGGAAGCCCCACTTACCTGACCTACATTCGGTTTAGCTATCAAAAAATAGTCCAAAATTGAATATTTTTGAAAATCATTAATAAATTACAAGTACTCTCATATGGATTTTAACTAGGAACCTTCTCTCTCTTCCGAAACATCAATCATTGAATAGAAAATTTAAAGAAAAATTTAATAATGATTTAAATGAACAAATTTTATAATAACTTATTAGAGTGTAATGAATTGCATATAGAAAATACTTCATAATGATTCAAAAAAAATGCAAAATTAGTCATTGTTGGTTAAAAAATGAGCTAATAACTTAAAGTATATGGTTTTGTAGAAGGAGTGACTTGATATAATTATATTTTTATCATGAAGTTTGAAATTCTTTTAATAATTTTATTGAAATAATGTATGATCACAAAGATTGATGTTAAGTATCGTAAATAGTTAAAGAGGTTTTAATTCAGTATATGCTGAGGTTAATTTAAATAGCATTCAATTTTTGATGGTTTGTGTGTTTATCCCTTTTCAAAAAATTGAAGAACCGTTGTTTATTTGAGAAGATAGCAAAATATGAAATAAGCAAAAAAAATATTACATCATGGTGAAAGTAGTAATTATTAAAAATTCCCATGTTTTTTATTGAAAATACATTGAATTTTGAAAAGAATTTACGGTAAAGAAGAATTTCAGTTCATTTTTCTAGGTAATGGTAAACTTCTGTGTCCACGAACTCATCTATGGTCTAATCATCATGACTGGTTCGTTGAACTTCGGTTATTCAGTTGAAATAACATCTCCGCTCGTTCCATTCTTTAAAACTGAATGGGGAATATCAACAATGAATACAACATGGTTCAATGCAATTCTTGCTCTATTTGCTGTTATTGGTCCATTCATCACAACATGGATGCTGAACTTCCTTTCAAGAAGATTGGTTTTCTGCATCCTACAAGTTACAACATCGGTACTATATTTAATCATGCTTGCTGCATCAAAAAAGGCATTTGCCGTAATGACAGTCATGCGTGCCCTTCAAGGTCTTGTTATTGGTGGTGTTACATCAATTACTCCGACAATGCTTGTTGAAGCTGCTCCTGCAGGTCTTACAGGTTTCTTCGGTAACTTGAATCGGATTGGTTGTGTTATTGGTATTATCATTATGTATCTCCAAGGTAATTGGACCGTCAACACATCAAAGAATGCAACAAAATGGTGGTCTCTCGAAATTACGTGTGCTGATATCAATGGAGTTGGTGCAGCTCTTATTTGGATCTGTCCAGAAACAGGAAAGAAAGCTGAAGAAGCTGATAATGCTGATAGCGAACAGAAAAAGGAATCTGTTTTCCAGAAACAGTATCTCGGAAAGCTACTTGTTGGTATTGCAATGATGTTCATTCAACAATTCAGCGGAGTTAACGCCATTTTAACAAATCTCGATGAAAACTTCAAAGAAGTTGGTGCCCCACTTGATTCAGGTATTGCATCTACAATTTCAGTTGCCGCTCAGCTTGTTGCTGTCTTTGTTTCTGGTTTTCTTGTCGATTGGATGGGTAGACGTCCACTTTTCTGCATCTCATGCGTTGGATGCGGTCTCATGCTCATTATATTCTCTCTAAACTACAAGTTTGGATGGGCAAACTGGCTTTCAATTGTTGTTATCTTCGTTTACATGTTCTTCTTCGGTGTTGCTCTTGGCCCAATTCCATGGTTTGTCGTTCCAGAACTCTTCCCTGACTCTGTACGTTCAATGGGTGCTTCAATGATTTCAATGGGCAATCAACTTTTCTCCTTCATTGTTATTTTCATCTTCCCATGGATGAAAGGTGATACTGATGCAAATGGTAAAGTCACATCTGGAATTGGTCTTATGTGGACATGTATTGTCTTCGCTATTGTTTCAATCCTTGGTGCTGTATTCGGATTCTTCTTTATTACAGAACCAAATGAAAAGAAGGATGAAAACCTTGATTGGGATGATAAGAAGGAAAACAACGAAAACAAAGAAACTAATGATGTCGCTGTTTAATTCAATTAATTTTGGAAGTTTAAATAAAAAATTAAATTTTATATAAAATTAACTCTATTTTTATTAAAATGACAAAATGCAAATAGTCTGATAAAATAACAATAAACAAAAAGAAGGGAAAAAAACAGATTTCATTAAAAAATATTAGTATCGGTAATTTATATGGCTTACACATCAATACGACTTCAAAATAATACGAGTTGCGCTTATATTAAGAATAACTTAAAAAAATAAAAAAATATTTTTCAAAAATTAAATAATATTATAATCTTGAGCCAGAATCTACGACTTGTTCAGTTCCTGTTATATCCTTTGATAAATCTGAACTTAAAAATAACAACATATTTGAAATAGATTCAAATGAAGTAAAACGAACTGAAGAATCGACTGTTCCACTTGAGTATTGCTCAATATATCCTACTTTTATGGCATTAACTCTTATATGTGCCTTTTTTCCTAAATCAAGTGCAGCAGTTTTTGCAAACATTGCTAGAGATGTATTTGTGCATAACTGTGATGATGAATTGCAATTGTAAGGCGGATAAACAAAAATAATGGATCCATCACGATTCATTTCTTTGGAAATTTGATTGGTTAAGTCAACAACAGATGTAAAGCTGTTTTTGTATTCATTTATAAATCCAGATACTGATGATTTGACAAGTTCCGTTTGTGTTTCGTTGTTATAAGCAGGGTCTAAGTTAATAAATATGTCAATTCCTTTTTTTGCATGTTTTTCGAGCAAAGGCAGAATATCTGTGCTAAATTCTGTAGTATCAAGCTTGAATTCGATGAAATCTAACTTGGTTTTAGAGTTATGAAAACGTTCATTGAGATTTTTTTGAATTTCTTTGTTAGATATAGTAGAAATAATGGTTTCGGCCCCATATCTAATCAGCGATTCAAGTATAAGTTCATTGAGCTTCGACATCTCCCCTGATATAAAAATACACTTTCCTGCAAAATTCATTTAGAAAAAAGAAGAAAAAGTTCCAGTGAAGCAGATCATTTCTTCAAAAGAATGAAGCTCATTAATGGTATCACAAACTGAATTATCGGCTATTCAGTTTGATAATTCTTCAAATTTTGCGATAATAAAAAAAAATAGTTAAAATCTATTCGCGAGCATTGAAATACAAAAACATGTGTCGAACCCTATTTATGCAACCTCGAAATTTGCTTTCAAAATTATCCTACAAACTGTATTCTCAGTTTTTTTTTATCAAAATCAAATCAGAACTCATTTGTAACTGTTTTTGATGATACAGAATTAAAATGATGTCATTCAAATAAGACTTTACTCGGAAAATTCGATATTTTAAGAAAAATAAAATAATGAAAATAAAAAAAAACTTTTTAATTTTAAAATACCGTAAATATAATAAACATTTAATAGTATAAGTAAATAATTTAAGCCTTAGCATCCTCAACGAACTTCTCGCCGACGAATTCGTCCATACCAGAACCTCTTCTGATGGCCTTCATGTACATATGACCAGACATCTGAAGGAGTCTGTGGATTCTGCGAACTTCGCAGTTAACGAAAGCTGTCTTCTTGGAATTCTTGTCCTCTTTTTCTTCTGGTTCGAGGGCTTTTTCGAAAATTTCCTTACCAGCTTCAGCGATAATAGGAAGTTCGTAGACGAAGGATGAGTTGAAGAAGTATTCTACTTGGCCGACATATGTGTTGATGTTTCTTTCTTCGCCATCGCAAACATCTGGCCAAATGCCGATTGTAAATCTTGGTGAATAGCCACGCTCTCTGTTATCTCTGATGACACGCCTCATCATGCAGATGTCTCTGCCTGAAACTGGGTGTTCATCGTCGTAGCAGATTGGTGTCATTGGTGAAACGTAAACTCTGATTGGAACAAGTGGCTGAATGAGGTCGAATAATTGTGGGTTGATGCCGTGGATACCTTCGATGATGACAAATCCGTTTTGAGAAAGCTTTAATTTCTCTGTTTCGCTGTCCTTACCAAAACCAGTGATGAAATCGAATCTTCTGACTGGAATTTCCTCACCAGCAAGCAATTTCTTGATTCTCTCAGCAAGAAGTGGTGCTTGGATTGATCTGATATCTTCGAAATCGATTGTTCCATCTGGAAGGTGGTACATTTCTGGACGGTGGTGGTAATAGTCATCGATGGCAATGATGATGCAGTCATAGCCCTTCTTGTTGAGCCTGTCTTTGAGTGGAATAGATAATGTTGTCTTTCCAGATGATGATGGACCAGCAATGCCAACAACACGCTTGTCAGGGAACTGTGAGAGAATGTATGCTTCGATCTTATCAAGCTGTTCGGCAGCAAGCTTGTCGGTAATTCCCTGAATTTGGGCAAATGGTGTTGTTCTGCAGTACTGGGAGATCTGAGCGACAGACTCGACGTTGAAATTCTTCCACTGGTTGGATGAGTGGACTAAGAGCTGCTGTTGGAGTTCAGCAAGACGGTTCTTGGCGAAAACTGTTGGATCCTTAGCTGTTGGGAGCTGGAGAAGGAGGCCCTTGTCGAAAACATGAATCTTGTAAAGTCCAAGTTCATTGAAGTTGAGAACCATTGGCTCGTAGACGATATCGAGCATATCTCCGAACTTTGCGCAGAGGATCTTCTCTTCATCGATCTTAGAAGTGTAGTAGGCCTTCTCTTCTCTGCCTTGCTCCTCGAAAATGTTGCAAAGCTGGATGGAATCCATCTCAACAAGTTCAATCTTGTTGTCGGAGGCAATTAACTCATCAAGCTTGGCCTTTATTTGGTCGGCAAGGGCTTGGTCGAGGACTTTGCCATCCTTGGCGATGAAGTATGATGAATCAGCAATGAAGTGGAGGATCTTGGCGTACTTGCCAGTGATTTGGCGGTACAATCCGCAGAAAAGGAAGTTGAACGTGGCCCTCTTAGCATTGAAGGTTGTGATTGGGTTGATTGAGTAGAGTTTCTCATTGCAGCACTTGGTGTACGCTTCGACAACACTCATCGAAAATTCTGAGATTTCAGTATTGAATTTTGATTCAAATAAATTCTGAGAATTGAATTCATGCTTGGCCGAATCCGACAAATATTTTTTAAATATCTTGGTGAGCACCTATAGCCCTAAAACTTGTTGTAATTTCTAATAAATTTATGTCTTCATTAGTTCTCCAAGATTTATATCTTTTTCATGAAAATCAATTATGATGATAGTTTGTGTATTGATTTTTGATTTTATAAAACTCATTTGGTCGATTTTGGCAGAATTACAAATTTGATTTATGAATCAATTTGCCAACTATTACGAATAAGATTAACTTCTTGAGAAATATTTGAATGACGATGATTCATACGAAAAACTCTAATACATTCGACAATTTAAATCATTGTAAATGTATATTTTATTTTAAATATCACGGATCATTATGGTTGAACTATCTTGGTATGTTTTCATGGTTTTTGTTGACTTATGGGAAATAGTTAAATTTTATTGTTCAAATGAAGTCGAAAAGGAGTCAAGCTACCTTATTTGGTATCAGATACTTATGTAGATTGAGAAAAGAGAGTAACTAAATCGGAGACAAAAATTCACTTCAATTTGAAATGAGAGTGCAACTAGCTTTCTTTGGACAATCCTTATATCATTACAATGTCTTTTGGATCATATAAGGGTTTCGTTTTGCTAAAATTGTCACTTTTATAGCATATTTGTTTTTGGATGTTTTGCGAAACCAAAAAAAAAAAAAACTATGATATACAATGTGTGTGTAAAGAAAATACTTTATTTACTAGTTAAAAAATCATTTGGTATTGATCAAGTTATTTTTTCTGGATAAGATATTATATGGATAATTGGATAGAAAATACAATTATATAATCTTGTACCTGGTTTAATTAAGCTAATTGTCATCAGAAACTTGTAATTTTTATGAATTTCAGATTTTCTTTTCATTACTGCTTTTCTTAATAGGTCAAGTTCTTATTTACGTTATAAAGTATGATATTTACAAATATCAAGTTATCATGTTTTTTGAGAAATTATGAGAAACAAACAAAAATGAAAAAGATAGGAATAGCAATGAATAGTGATGTGGGTATAGAAAATGTAAGAGATATGAATGCAAAGCAATCAGTATTTAGGATATTGACCATAGATTTCGAAAAAAAAAATGCTGCATATTGAGCGAAAACTATGATTATATTATAAGGCTGTCATTTAAAGCATAATGAAACTATTCCCTTTTCATTTTAATCGAATAAGATAGTAAAGATTTTTGAATTAGCTAGAAACTGATGAGATGTTTTCACAAATCAGATTTTTAATCTCTATAATGCATAATTCACTCAATATCTCAATTTTGATATTGCGAGATATTTTTGCTATCGGTTTCGCAATTTTGACACAATAGCAAGAGGGTTCTATAAGCATTATTATCAACGTAGAATCTGAATATCATATCAGAAAATGTCGCAAATCTGACATTTACCCGACAAAATAGCAAAAATAATTGAATACTTTTCGCAAAAACTTTAAAAATCGATAAAAATATGAAATATAGATATTAAAGAGACTTTTTATATAATATTCATAAAGATTTTCCAAAAATATGATACCGCAAAATTTAAAAAGTGACGTCTTGAGTGGAGTCAAAGGTCGAAATTGCTAGCTAAATGTTTTTTTAGCGAAATTGCGTATTGTACGTTTTTTTCGCAAAACGAAACCCTTAGATCATAAAATATTAGAACATAAAGCTTCTCGCGACCTCGATTACAAATTTTTCGTATCTAAAAAGCATACAAAAAGTATCATGGACTCCGTCATTTTGGGTTGTACTTGTTAAAATTTTAGAAGTTTTCATGAAGATTAAAGGGAATTGACCAAAAAAAATTTAAAAATTTGAAAAATTGTTAATTAAATAAAAAGATACTAAAGGAATTAATAGTTTATAAGAAGGTGACAACAAATAGATGGTGAAAGTTGATATAAAATCAATAAGCAATTAAAATAAAATTAAAATAAAAGTTTGGCATAAGAAAAAAGCCAAACAAGCAAAGACACGAAGTCTTATAAGGTTGGTACAGTTAAGAAACAAAATAAATAATAAAAAAAGCAGTTGAAATTAAGCAACAATTGGAACCAGAGCCACGCGAAGTGGACGGACTGGTGGTGAGTATGTTGGTGGTTTGTTGATGATGTTAGCGTTAGCAACATCGAGTGAATGTATTTCCGCGAAGGAAATTGTTGGAATATTTGTTGGTTCTGTTTCGAAAGGATCACTGAGAAAAGGAGAGCACAAAGCTTCATCGACAGTGATTCTCTGGGAAGGATTGTACTTCAACATTCCCAGAATTAAAGGAATTGCTTCTGCAGCCTCTCCGACGAGACATTCACGAAGAATATCATCTAAGGAGCGATTGCAGTCGCGTATCATACTTAAGAGGTTGACATTTGAGTAGGAGTTATTGGCCAAATCTTCTTCATTTGGCTTTCCAAGAAGAAAAACAATTGCTGAGAGCTGGGAGATATCTGATGATGTGAGTGGACGGAATAATGGTATTCCTGTAAGCATTTCGAACAAAATGGCTCCAAGAGACCAGACATCTGAGGAATAATCGTATTGTGTGTTTCCAAGGATGATTTCTGGTGCTCTGTAGCCTGGAGTGACAACGCCAAGTGTGCGCTGAGAGTTACCTTTTGTCAAATCACGAGATAAACCAAAATCTCCAAGTTTGACAACATTGCCACGTGTAACAAAGATGTTCGCGGGCTTGAGATCTCTGTGTACGATGTTTAGATCATGACAAGCCTTGACAGCATTGAGAATTTGCTTGAAATAGCACTTGACAGTCTGTAATGGAAGACCCTTTGGATTTCTTGAGTGAATGAGGCCATCAAGATCGAATTCGCAGTAATCAAAGACCATGTAGGGCTCTTCTCCACTTGTAGAACGGAAGATTTCTCTGAGGTTAATAATATTTTGATGTTTGAGAGTCTGGAGGTTAGAAGTTTCACGATAGAATGCTTGTGGTAAGGCCTGATTCTGGTTGAAGATTCTGACCTTTTTGATTGCAACAACTTCGCCAGTTTGTGGATCAATCGCCTTCATGACATTACCATAGCATCCTTGACCTATCTCTTCTATAACGCGGTATTTATCAAAAATGGATACCCGATTCTGATGGGACGGGCTAAACGGAGGAATGGTAAAAAAACTGGTTCATAATCGTCCGGCTAAATAAACTATTCAATTTAGATTGTAAAAGTGACATGCGACCAGACAAACAAGTACGAACAGTTTTTGATTTGTTAGTGATTTTTTTATCATACAATATAAATAATGCATGGTTTCTTCTAAGAGTGAAATGGAAAAATTTGAATACTATCCATTGAATCGAAAAACCAAATTGAATGTTATCCATCATGACATAAAATTGATTTGACCACATATCACTTGAATATGTTTTTTACCACTGTTTCAATCATAGATTAAATACCATGCAATATTGTTCTCTGAAACTCACAGAATAATTTCCAAAAAAAGCACAAAAATTTCATTTGAATACTTTTAATTTTTATCTTCAAATTTTAAAATTTTAATTTTTTTGGAATATATTTTCTCGAAAACGGGGTTAGCACTGGGAAAAAGAAGATTTTATAACGACAGTTTGAATTATTTTTTAAATATTAATATGTTCTTTTAGCTACATGATTTAAAATAGCATATTACCTAATATTTTAATTTCAAATCTGATATTTCAAGATAAAAGTAGGTCCTTCATCTAAAATATAATACATAATTACATTCTGAAATATTTATCCCCATCTGTTTTCATGAAATTAGCGTTTTCTTTTTTCAATTCAACCAAATCTGGGGGATACTAAAAATATAAAAGTACGTTGAAAATTTATAAACAAATAATCTCATTTTATTCAATAAAATCTCTATAATAAATAATTTTAATGTAATTCAAACAGTGGTGGTGGAACCTTTGCCTTTTCAGTATGAATATGGTCCAAAACAATCGATAATGGGATAAGGGGTATTATAAACATGATAATTAAGAAAATCAAGATGAAAATATTGAATTTATCTTCTTTCTTGCTAGTAATGCTCCTGAATTCTGATACAATAATTGCGAATAGTCCGAATGATACAAATGGGAGAGTCACAATTCCAAAAATTCTCCTTCCTTCTTTCAAATCCATATAATTACCAGGAATAAAGTAGTAAAGAAGAAATGCAGCGTATACAAATAGAGTTCCGATAAATGTATGCCATAGTTTCGGATCATAGTCGTCTAATAAGATTTTTGCACAATTAACTACAAATGCAGCAGCTATTATATGCATAGCTGGCATTTTACCAGTAGCAAACGCATTCGTGATCTCATCTGAGTACCAAAATGAAGATAATATGTATGAAAAAATGGAAATTACATAGACTATAGTAATCCAAACAGATTTTCGATATAAAACTACTGGTAATGCCATGTAAGCAGAGTAGAGAGTTGCTGCTCCAAGGAACAAATTAAAAGTCAAATTTTGGTATTCTGGAATTTGAGTAAGGAGATATAATATAATAAGGACCACAGAATATGGTCTTCTATACGCAAGCAAGAATAATGCAAAAGCCCAGTTTTGAATGACGTAGATCGATTCGTGGGTTATAATTTTGTATTTACATGTCCAATGAAGCTTTGTGATATTAAGATTATGACAATCGAGAGTATTATGGAAGGAAATATTATCTGTTCCGTTAAATTGATTATGATAAAACTTCCATTTTGGCGTAAATTTACTATTTTTATCAAATTCAATCTTTGACGGATACCAAGAAGTTATATTTTCGACGCCATTAACGAATGTCCGAGTATATGTAATGGTTGGCTTTGTATTTGCATCTTTTGTGTTTTTATACTCAATAACAAGATGCTGACGAACATCAACAGTATTATTATATTTCTTTGGAATTGTGAAACACCAGTGTTTTTGAAAATCAGTTTCTTCTTTGATATCTCCTACGACTGTTAAAGAACCTTCCCCAACTACATAATCGTCAGCAGCTTTAAACATTATGTAACCTAGAATGATCAGTTCTAGATATAGGAATAAATAGGATATGTTGACAATTTTCCGAAACATTGTAAAAAAATGAATAAATTTGAATTCCAATTCAAATACTTTCTATCATACGATTAGATAATAAAGCCAGTTGTAATTATTATTTGGGAATGTTGAACGTTTATAAATTTTTTTAGAGCTGATGATTTGGATCCTCTTCTCCTTTCTTACACGAACTTTAGATACACACCAAACTATCGCAGACACTTTATCTATGATAGCAACATCCATTTCATCATCAGATACAAATATAGAACCGAGTTTAAACAAAAACTTTGATATATTATATTCAAATTTACCTAAAACCAAGGAAGTGGATTACTACGTCGAATCTATTGCAGGAAATAATCGAAAAACTTCCGATATTTCAACTAATTTAACACAGGATGTGACTTGTTTCCCAGGACAGATTGTTTATTTATCAATTCGATTTTACTCAGAAGAGAATATCAAAAACATTCAGGTATTAAATGGTATTGACGGAACATCAGATTTTAATTTGGTTTTGAAGGATCCAAATACACAATTTTCACTGTTTGCAAAGTCATCAACTTATAAAATTCAACAAAAGAATGAAACGTTTATAATTAATGATTCAAAGCCCAGAACAGGCTATAATATCGAACTTAATTCCAAAAATAGTCAAAATCTATGCATTGGAAAGATTATATTCGAGCGAAATTAGATTATTACTAAATGTTTGTATTGTTTTTTTTAGTTATTTTCTGATATTTTCAATGAGAATTCGTTATTTCTGTTTGAATTTGAGTTATTTAAATGAGTTATATAAATTCCTTTCATTATCTTTAAATTCAACGTGAGCTTGATAATTTATGCAAATATGTCACTTTTTAATAATTATGAAACATATTGATATTGGATTTAGTACATATTTATTAGGCTTTTTCGTAGGCATTGCAATTCTTTTATTTGCATTTATGTTACTCGGTATGTTATATATGCCAAAACGCTTGAAAGGCCATCCAAAAAGAATTACACCCCCAGATGAGAAAGAATCAGCTGACTGGCTAAATATTCTTTTAGCAAGATTAAATGCTTCACACATAGATGCGCAAATTCTTTCAGAAGTTTGCAAATTATTATCCCAAAAAATCGCAAGCGAACCAAAGAAACCTGATGTTTTAACATCAGCCGTTATTACCCCATATAAACCTGCTGACTCTGCTCCTTTCATTTCAGATATTCAACTAAAAAATGAATCAGACGAAGAATCTACACTCAGTTTCTTATTACATTTTCAAGGATCACCATCAATTTCAATTGCAGCAACAGTATCAGCAGGCCCAATTGATATACCACAGCTATTTTCCTTCCATATGAAAGTAGAATTAATTTTATGTCTTCTTGTTGCCCGTGTTACTATCAAATTTAAGAACGATAAATCAAAGGAAATCTCGGTATGTATCGGAAATGATCTTATTATTGATATTAATGTTAAACCACTTCTTGACGATCCAAAGAACGCATCTCAGAAGCATATCGAATCAATATCTACTTGGTTCTCAAATTTCGCTATTATGAGTCTTCGTGGAAAAACTTTTAATATCCCTGTTCAATAAAATATACTATTTAACTTGTTTTTATGAAATAGATATTTTTTACTCATTACACAACTCATATTTTAGAGATTTTCTAATAACTTTTAAAATTTAAATTTATATTTCCTTAAAATAAGTTCAGGGAGCTTTAAAACAGTCATTCTTAGCAATGCTTTTATTAAACAATTGTAATGATAACTAAATTCTTTAAATAATCATGAAAATTGAAATATCTACAAATACATGAATTTTTTTCGACATCTTCTAATTTTATCCAAAAGTATGAATGCTGGACGTAACGAGTCCTTCCAGAAATTATTGGACCTGGAAATAATTTGGGTTTTGCTGATAAACAGTTGTTCATGGAAGATATAGCATAGTGCCAGCCAGATTCTGCATCAATTCCATCTAAATAAGAACATCCTGAAATACCTTTAGAAATTCCCGAGAAATTTGTCCATTGATCACCTTTTATGAATTCATAATTTGTAGCTTTTGCTTCGGTTAAATCAGAATCTTGTTTCCAAATTTGATACGAGTGAATTTCAGGATATTCAAGTAAGAAGAATTTTTGAAAAATTCTTTTTAGATAGCGAGAAACGTCTTTGTATTTAGATATAATCGAATAGGTATTATAATTTTCATTAAAAACCATGTTAGTATAAGAATAATACTCGTTATTTGTTGAATTATGGTGTGCTATTAATAACCATTTAGCACCATAATCTAATTTAAAGTAAGCATTATCAATTTTCCAAATATTTGAATCGAAATCGCCAATATCACCATAGATATTTGGCAAAAATAATAAAAAATGTCAAAAATTGAGATCTTATAAGGTGGTCTGAATAGAACCATTATGAAGGGGATTAGATGTTATGAGTGACGAATGGAACCAAAAAACACGATTTTCCTCAATTTGGGAATCAATTTACCCCTACACTTTAACACAAATAAATGTCTAATCATTACCCTACTTCCTTTTTTTTACAGCTTCAAGATGACCAATTTTTGATGCAAAACTAAGTGAAGTATATCCATTATTATATCATAGAAAATAAAATACATGAATGAGGGGAACTATTGCTTTTTTGTTTTAATTATAGTTTATTGTTTTCAATAAAGAGAAGTCTTGAAGTTATTATCAGATATATGTTTATTAAATTGTTATAAATGGAACTAAATACTTTAAAAATTCATGAAAAATGACATTTTTGCAAACACAAGAATCTTTGTAGATATTTTCTAACTTTATCCAAAAGTATGAATGCTGTACGTATTGCACCAATGTTATTATTGGACCTGGAAAAGATTTAGGGTGTTCTGATAAACAACGACTCATAGAAGATATTGCATAACTCCAACCATAATCTGAAGAAATTCCGTCTAAATAAGCACAGCCTGGAGTGCAGTAACTAATTCCTTTAAAAGAAGAAAAACGATCACCTTTTTGGAATTCATAATTTGTAACATTTATTTCGTCTAATTCCGAATCTTGTTTCCAAATTTGATAAGAATGTAATTCAGGATATTCAAGTAAGTAAAAATTCTGGGAAACTCGTTTCAGATAGTGAGAAACGTCTTTATATGTAGATATGATAGAATATGTATTATAATTTTCATTATAAGTTAAGTTTGTTTCAGGATAATACTCGTTATTTGTTGAATTATGGTGTGCTATTAATAGCCATTTAGCACCATAATCTAATTTAAAGTAAGCATTATCAATTTTCCAAATATTTGATTCGAAATTATTAATATCACCATAGATATTATACAATCAATAAAAATGTCACTTTTCTATTAAGGTTAAAGCAAAACTGAATGACTTTGCTTGTAGATCTAGTGATTCAGAATTTGTTGAGTCTTATTCATATATAAAATCGAAATAAATCATAGGTTAGATGATTTCAGACGCTGATTAATAAAATAACTAATTTATGATAAAATTAAAAATTTAAATTTTGTAAAAAAACTACAATGAAAATAAAAAAATATAAATTATCTTACCAATGCTTAGCCTTAGCATTAAGTTCTCTAGCCTTTTCACGTGTGATAAGACCGCAAGAGTTTGTTGGGCAGACAGATTCGCAAAGGCCGCATCCGTTGCACTTATCTGGATCAACTTTGTAGACCCACTTGGCTGGGATAAGTGTGATTGCATCGTTCGGGCACATTGTGCATCTTCCGCATCCGATGCATGTGTAAGGGTTGACTAAGTGGTTGATGAGTGGTTCCTCTCCGATATTCTCGATATCGAAGTTTGCGTTCTCCTTTGCCCAATCTCTGATGTTCTTGAATCCATCTCTCCAGATTGCGAAAGAAAGAGAAGTGTTGAGGTGTTCGATGCCTTGTCCTGTTCTCTTGATGTCTCCTGGCTCAAGAACACAGACTAAGTATCCGCGTGCGAAAGCGTTGAGAGCATCACGTTTGTTCTTTGCTCCGAAGTGGATTGATGGGGATTCGCCATGTCCATTGAGAACAATGACAGAGTTCTCACCAAGTTTCTTTGCCTTCATGTATTCATCTGTTGAATCACATGTAATTTGGACGAAATCAACATCCTTTGTAAGGAGTTTGAAGTCATCTTCGAGTGTCTCAGATGAAGCATTGATTTGTGCACCAAGGATAGCGTTTGCGAACTCCTTTCTGAGTTCTTGGACCATCTCGAGAACCTTCTTTGCATCGTTATGCGCGTGGAACTCTGTTGGTTTTCCTCTCTTGTAAGAGCATGGATGGTTCTTGAAGTTTCCAACGCCAATGACAACACCACCCCAACCTTTCTGCAAGTACTTCTTGCAGGTGTAGATGCTGTCTGTGAATGAAGAAGCGCCGGCAATGAATGGAGAGATTGTTGTCTTCTTTCCATCCAATGAAGCTGTGATGTCTGCTGGACGATGCTCGTATTCGAAGGATGTGAAATTGGAGATCAAGTCGGTATCGATCTTTGGAGCTTCCTGGCCTGTGAGGAAGTTGTGGCATCTCCAGGCTGCGTTCTTTCCTGATGCAGAGGCTTGGACAGCGGATGTGTTCTTGCCTCTAGCTTGGCCACAAACGAAAATCTTGCCTTGTTCGGTGCCTTCTTTGATGTTTGTGCGCTGGCCGAGGGCAGGAACAACCATATTGAGGTCCTTCCATGTAACATCTGTATCTGGAATGGCGTTGAGGTTGGAATCGTACTGGCAGCAGTGGATTGTTAATTTGCCGTTCTCTTCTTTGACGACTTTCTCGATACCGACACGTGGAACGACGTTAACGCCGAGGTAGGCCATGACACCGCGCTCTTCTGGAGCAAGTGGAGCTTGATCTAAAGTACGGCGGTAGAAGATGACGACGCAGGAGGCGCCGGACTTGATGGCTGCAAGAGCAATATCAACGGCAACACCACCGCATCCGGAAATACCGATGGACTTGCCCTTGATGTCTTCTGGCTTCATGGCGAAGAAATCTTGGGAAGAGATGCAGTATTCGGAGCCTGGGCATGTAAGCTTGCCATGGTTTTGAGAACCAACGGCGTAAATAACGGCATCGTAGTCTTTTTCGTTGGCTGGATCAAATGGAGTGTTTAACTTGATCTCTGTGTCACCAACCATGGAGAGTAAATCAAGATCCATCTTAAGAACATCGTCTGGGAATCTGTACTTTGGAATCTGCTGGACATCGCCACCAACAACGGAGTTCTTCTCAAAAATTGTAACTTTGTGGCCCCGAGAAGCAAGGCATGTAGCAGCTGAAAGACCAGATGGGCCAGCACCAACGACAGCGACGTGCTTGCCTGTAGATGGAGCCTTCTTGATGAGCTCGCAGAATTTGCCATCCTTGCAGGCGCGCTTGATGATTTCAGCCTGAAGAGCTGGAATGTTGATGGAAGCATCGAGCTTTTGACGAGAGCAACGGGACATGCAGTGATTAACTGGGCAAATAACACCGCAAACAGAGCCGAGAGGCTGCTTGGAGTAGATGCAAAGAGCTGCATAATCCATATCTGACTTTTCTCCACTGTAAGCTGCATTGATGAACTCAGATGGATCAACTTTGCAAGGACATTCTTGGTTACATGGCTTTTCTGGACATTGGAGACACTTGTCGAGCTCTGCACGGAACTAGTGTCCGTTTAAATATCTGTATCCCTTCTTTGGATCAACCTTGGATGGAAAGTTTGTAAACATTCACCCTTGAATAATGTGAAGTTAATTTTGTGGGTACTTTTCAATTTTTTATTTTCTGTCAACAATCGATCGTTTCATTGTAAAAATTGAATAGCCAAATCAAGATTAAGCTAAATTCCTATTAATTTATAATCAACTATAGTAAATGAACCATCATTGCAAAAAAGTAGCAAAAAGTGACCTAACCCATTATAAAATTCGTGATCGGTTAATAAAATTATTGATCCCACATCAATTTGCATTATAAAGAATTTTGAATTAATTAAATTGAATTAGAAAAACTCATGAGATCGAATGACCTTATTAATTTCACCTAGAATTGGACTTAACTTATATAGGCTGTTTCATCTTTTCATTGTCAAAGATATTCGTCTTATCAATATATATCTAAAAGGATAATAAACAATGAGAATGAATCATCCTTATCGTTATGATAAAATGGGGCAAGAGAGCTGTACGCTTGTAGAAAATTATAAAATATCATACAATATTAATTTTTCAAAAAATTTAGTGTTTTCCGTGGCTGTAATAGATCACACTTAATTAAAAACACATTTCAAGAATGAATGACAATATTTTCAATCATTAATCGCTTAATATATAAAAAATAATATTTCTATTTCATTATTTATTTCTTATAACAATATATTTTTGTTTATTAGTGACAAATTGAAACTACACTCATGTAAAAAGCAATAATTAAAAAGTCTGATTCAAACTTCAATAAAGATATTCGTATAGAATGAAATAAGAGTGGAATCTAACTATTTCTAGCACAACATATTCACATATCAATAAGTATTTCTAATAAACTAAAAAAATCTCGAGAAGATTGAATCAAATGAGAACCAATCGTGTATCACCACAGCTTGCATAATAGACACAGATCACTAATGTATCACCTGAAAAATGGTTCAACTTGACTCTTTATTATTTGTTCACAATGCCTGCAATAATCAAAATAAATCAATTTTCATGTTCAAGGGCGTGCAGCGCCGGATGAAATGAATGAAATAAAAAACTATCGTAAAAAAGTGAAGAAATTTTTTATATGAGTTTTTTTCACGATTTATACGAGAAATATAGGAAGGAAATTAACTATGGTGTACCCATATTAGTTTTAATCCTTGGAATTATTATTTATATACTTACACGCCCATTTGTTCGCTTTATGGGACCTCTTCCATTTATTTATAACGCAGGCGTTATCAAATTGCTTGGCCAATATTTAGAAACACAACCATCTCGACACACATTCTTTATTTACGGTCCATATCAATCCGGAAAAACAAGGACTTTATTACATGTTTCAGAATTATATGGTCAAAAAGGATTTTTACCGATCAACTTAGATTTTTCAGATGCAAAGTCTATTGAAGAGATAATTGGCTTCGGAAAATTAAGTATCATGCGTTCTATTAGTGATCATACAAATTATCTTAAAAATTTAACAGTCAACGTCACCGTCAAACCAAAGAAAAACGCTAAAATTCTTACACCAGAAGATCTTCAACTAATACAACGCAAAATCGCTTCTTTACCACTACTTCAAGAGAAATTATTAGCAGAATTAGATCGTTCTAAGACAGAATCTGATGGTCTCAAAGACTTCTTTGGCCATCTAGAGGATGCTTTTGACGATTTCAGGCCTGCAGTCTTTATTGCTGGTGGTCAAAATCTTCAACAGCATTGTTTGCCACTTTACAACGCTATTCTCTCTCATGCCGCACATAAGGACCAATACATGGACAGAATTCCTCTTATTATTGAAACATCAAATGCAATTTTGAAGATGAAAGTTTGGCCACCTCATTTCAGATTGGTTGAAGTCTCTAAAGTCACTGATCCATATAAGTACTTCGTTAAGGACGTTCACTGCTTTACAAGACGTGAAATGAAACGTATTATGGTCGTTGTCGGACCACACGGCGGTGAAATAGAGTCAGTCTTCGAACAGCTTAAAATTGGCTACGAGATAGAACATGCTTTGAAGGAACGTGTAGATAATTTGAAATTTATACGCGATTATCAGCTCTACGGCACTAGATTTGGCCAAGAAGTATGCAAGACAGGTAGAAAGTACTTTGAACAAATCAATTCTACAGAACCATTTGCTCCTCTTGTTGTTAATGGTTATGTTTATATTGATAAGTTCAATAACCTTGTTCCTGCCAATAAAATTGTTCAGAAATACATTTGTAAAGCAAATCCTTAAGTTTTAAAGTGAATAAAAGAAATCTTATGAAATATTTTTTTTTGTTTACTACGTATAAAACGATTTTACTATATCTAACTAAAAGGCTACGTATTGCTTAAATACTTTATGTACTGTTGTGAGATGAAATTTTTCATATAATTGATTTTCAAATGTGCCAAGTCAATGCATCAGCAACGTTTTTATTTCCTGACGATTGCCCAAAACAAAACAAGATATGGGGATCAATTATATCAATGTCACAAGATAAGAATCCTAAATTAATTGTACCAAAATCAGATATTTGTCCAAAATGCGGAGCTTTCAAAACTCCTCAAACAGGATGCTGCCCAATATGCGATCCTGCAAAATTTTATGATAAAGATACTACATTATATTCTTTAGATTACAAAATTAAAATCGATAATGAAATTCATGAACACCTTATCTGCTTAGTCATAGATCTTTCAATGCCAGACAGACTGCTTCAAGACTTAATTTCAGCTATTTCTTCTCAATTTGGATATTTTGCTTTAGAAAATGTCAAATTCATGCTTATTTTCTTATGCCAATGTCCTTTATATATTCACAAACGCAATAATACATTACATGTCGGATATGAACAGATTTTTTATCAAGATTCAAAATATATTTTTGAAATTAATGAATTTATTGAAATATTACTCGATATTTATCCAATAATACAAACATGTAGCCGATTGCCAATGAGTTCGCAGTCATTTCATGGTTTTTTGGACCAAATTAAATCAGAAAATATCACATCTTTACTTTTATTCCATAATTTTCCATTAATTCCTTATCCACCAACTCCATTTAAAGTACATAGTATTTTTGTTGCATCAAATACTCCAGTTCCTACGAATATGATCCAAATTTCTTTGGAAAATAATTTGACATGGAATTCCGGCTCAATTATTCACAAATCTCTCATTGATTATATCAAAATGTGCATGATGGAGCCGTTCGGACCATTAGACATCAAGATATTCGTTTCCGAAGGTTTAGAAATTGAATGGCTTTGTAATGAAGAAAATGAAAAAAATTACCAAGCGAAAAAACTCAATTTTACGATCAAAAACAGCTGCAAGGATACATCATACGCATTGACATTGAATGAAGGAAGCAAGTACAGCCATAAGAAGATATTTACAATGCAAATTGCCACAAAATCCGAAAATGGAATTTATATAACAAATCGAGTTTGGCAGAAAGCAGAAACGATGGAAGAATGGGTTACATCATTGAATCCTATTGTCATATCATCTATTTTTGCTCGCCAAGTTGCAGCTCATCGAGTTTTTTACGCGAAAAAAGGAATTTTCCAGAAAACTATCACATGGAAGATCTCTTTGTTCGAGAATCTCAAGGGAACAACAATACTCCTCAAAAGAGCTATATCTAGCATTTCAAAATTGCTCTCAAACGAACCTCCGATTTTACCTCCAGATTTACTTTCTTTAATCCATTTTAATTTGATCACAAAAGGATATGCGTATAACGCTGACCTTGTCAATGCAGTAGTTAGTTGCGATGCTGATTATTTAATTCCAATTCCACCATTATTAATATATTCCAACAAGAGTCCGACATTTACTGATGAAGATTTAGTTGCATATGAATGGTGCGTGACGCCAATACCTGTTTTAGTTGATAAATCTATTTTTGATAGAATTCGAAATTCAGTTTTGGAATAAAAATATTAATCTGTTTGTTTTCTATATAATGATATTACAAAAGGGGGAACTTCGTCGACAACAAAGGTATCGACCAAAATTGTTCCCATTATGCTTGATATATGAAGTATAGTAATAGTGTGTATGGACTCATAGAATGACTTTCGTTTGATTTCGAGATATATTATGATCTTCTAAAATATCCATATTTTACTTGATAACGCATATGTTTTATCGTATTATGAAAATTAAACAAAAAATATGGCTTAAGAAGAGCAAAATTCGATGCTAAAAGTAAATTGTTTATTGGTGTTACATTTATTTTTCTTTACTTTAGGATTTTTCAAATTTTTATCTTTGATTTTTCATGTTATAGCTTCATAATTTTAAATATTCACAAATCAATAATTTCTAAGCATATTTTATATAGAAGTTTGATGTTTTTCTATGATGGAGAAGACATGGATCAAAAAAGTGACAAATGGGCAAAGATCAAACAAAAATTGTATTTGATGCCGATTCCAGAAGAAACTTTTTGCTAGCAAATAGGCATGCTCGTGAAATCAGAAAGAATAAAGCTATCAAACGTAATCAAGAAAGACTCAAAGAAGAAAGAAAAGAAAGACAACGCCAAAGAAGAGAGCAAGATGAGGAATTTGCTCGTGAATTATCAGAAAAACAGCGCAAATTAGGCATAAAACCAATGGATATTATATCCCAAAGGTACCAATACTCAATTCCAACTGTAGAAGTTGAAGCTACAAAGCCAGAAGAGCCAGAAAAAGAAGAACCTCATGTTGAAGAGGAGAAAAAGGAAGAAAAATAGATATTTTGTTTTAGATTAAAAATAGAGATTATAGAAATTAACAAAAGTTTACAATCCATATATACGTAATTACATATGTTATACAAAGAAATTATCCCAACCTGATATTACTATTAATACCTCACATATTGCCTTTTTTTTCACTAAAATTGAAGATATATAGTTGAAATATAGAGACACATAGAGAAAACATATATAAATACTACATTTTCATTAATGAAGAAAATTAGATTCGATGTTTTTCTTTTAGAAAAAGCATTTCAAATTGACTAGTATGAAAGAGTGATATTCATATATAGCTATTTTATCTTTTGCACATGCTTGTTTGATGAAAAATTCATAAAAGAAGAAATGACAAGAGAGAGAAGCTTTTTATATTGGAACTCTAATTGCACCATGTGAAATAAGAAGTTCAGCCATTTCTTTATTTTGTAACATATCTGAAAAATTAAGCGCTGTATATCCACCTCTAGCTTTTGCATTGACATTTGCACCATGAGAAATAAGAAATTCTGCTATTTCCTTATTTTTTGTCATAGAAGTTCTATGAAGAGGAGTTATTCCATTGACGTCCTTTCCAGTGATATTTGCACCTTTTGAAATAAGAATTTCGACCGTTTCTATAATATCTACTGCATAATGAAGAGCGATTTCTCCTCTATTATTTTTTTTTCATTAATATTTGAACCATGTGAAATTAGGAATTCGACAATTTCATTAAAATTAAAATGTGCTGCAATATGAAGAGCTATTTCTCCAAATTCATCTTTTTCATTGATATTTGCACCATGTGAAATAAGAAGCTCAACTATTTCTTTACTATTTGTTCTTGCTGCATAATGAAGAGCTGTTTTCTCTTCTTTATCTCCTTCGTTGATATTTGCACCATGTGATATAAGGAGTTCAACAATTTCTTTACTATTTTTATTAGCTGCATAATGAAGAGCTGTTTTCCCATATTTATCTTTTTCATTGATATTTGCACCATGTAAAATAAGAAACTCCATTGTTTCTGTACAATTGTGATCTGCTGCTATATGAATAAGATGAATTTTTCTTTGTCATTATTCATAATTGCTCTATAAATTGTATTTTCTGTATGAATATTCAGATTTCTAAATTTAATTTCTTCCAAATCACCAGACCTGTCTAATTTAATTCCATATTCTTTATAAAATAGGATGTTTGAAACATCGTTAACATTCTTGACATCTTTGACATGATAATCATCAGTTATGAATTTAGCAAGTGTTAAGTATGATTTTATATAGCGATTTTTATAGGGAATAATATTCAAAATATCTTTTACAATATTTTTGGAGAACTGATTCTTTGAATCAATCAAATTTATTTTGATCAATTTGTAAATCTCTTTTAATTCTTCTTCTTTATCTGTTTTTAACTGATACAACACATTGTATGAATCGATATAGTATTTGTATATACTTCGAAGTTCAGTGTATTTGTTTGGATGAAAGTCTGAACAAATGTTATTTGTGCTTTACAATATAAAATATCTTTAAAATTCATTTGGGAAAATATATCTCCATTAAGAAATAAAAGCTAAAGTTTCAAAGTGGTAATTTTCAGTTGAGTCACTTTTTGGAAAATTTGGAATTTTTATATCAAAAACAAAACCCTAAAAAGCATTCAGTTAATTCGTAAATAATCGAAAAAGTGTTAATAAATAGTTTATCTATATATTAATCTTTGATTTAGCTTATTTATTCGATCCGCAAAGTTGGTACCTAAAGCGTTATAGACTAACCCATGAGTGGATAACCCATGAATGGAAAATTCCCTACAAGGACACTTTTCGTGATGACAGTCTTTTGAATTTTTTTCCTGACACGATAAAGTTCTCAAAAATAAATGTAAGCTTCTAATTTTCTGAACTTTACGACCGGACGCCTTGTGATGCCAAACCTAGTTTTTACTGTAATTTTTGGCTGAGTCACTTTTTGAAAAATTTACACTTTTCCAACGTTTTGTCAGGGGCGCGAAGCGACCCAAAAATGTCGGAAAAGTGTAATTCTCAGGTATATGATTATTTTTGCTTTTAATGCCGAACAGCATTTGAATCAAAAATAATCGTATGCCTGAGAATTTGGAATTTTTAAAGGGTAAATGTTCGGTGCTTGCAGATCATAATTTTCAGCAATTTGAAATTTCTGGATTTTTTTTCATTGAAATTCTGAAAAAAATATTTGTGACCATAAAATCATTACCGTACCTTGAATAACCGGCGAACCATTCAATTGGTCATAGACCAATTTGAGATACCCTTTTCAGAGGAATCTAAAATGTTGTTTATATGGTTATTTATATATTATTTAATCATTTTCTTAAATAAAAATCATAAGTTCTCAATTTTTCTTCATAACGATTCTTATAAATTTTAATGTTTTTACTATGAGTGCTAAATATTATTAATTACTAAATGATTTTAAAAAGAAAAAACATGTTTTTACTTTGTACGTTAACATACGTTAATATCACTGAGATTGGGACAAAGTTGCAATTCGGCACTTTTTGTAAAAAAATGGGGTCATACTCATAATGAATAGAGACTTATAGCCAAGTCTTGATATCATACAGGGAGAATATACATTGATAAGCAATTATATTTTATAGTAGTAGTATTCAGAAATTCTTACAATTTACAATACAATTTTCAAAAATGGATAAAGACTTATAGCCAAGTCTTGATATCATGCAGGGAGAATATACATAGATAAGCAATTATATTTTATAGTAGTAGTATTCAGAAATTCTTACAATTTACAATACAATTTTCAAAAATGGATAAAGACTAATAGCCAAGTCTTGATATCATGCAGGGAGACTCTCTACAAATACAAAAATTGATTATCATAAGGAAATACAAATTTATCAATTTTCATGTGAAAATTACATAAATTTGTTCTCCAATAAATAGCAATAATACTTTGAATGTTATATTAAGTAATATAGCTTCAGGTAAATAAGCTTACACTTCAAAAATATACTGTTTATTCATTAATTTTAAAAAAAGTCCAAATTATCTAATCTTGCTTACTCTTCCTTTAAACTTCTTTGTGCCAAATTTAATATTGCCTTCAAAGATGGAATAAGGACATTAGGTTCAATCCTTCGGCTTTCGACAATTTCCAAAATGTGTTGAATTAATTTCAAACATTCATCGTGTTTTGAAGCTCTTTGCTCAACAATCTGATTACCTGCCCTTGTAAGAATTCTTACTGCTCTATCTTCATTCAAAACATTAGCGACTTGAACCTTAATAATCGCATTTGGAATCACAACAGTGATGAGAGTTATGACGATATAAAAAAATATTTTATTATACTCATTCGAAATTAAAAATAATAAAATTTATATATATTAATTTCATTAAATCAAGGTTAAAAATCTCACCGGAAAAATAACCTCAGTGTGATAAATTTATCACCGGAAAAATTTACAATAAGGTTAATACCGAAAATATCGAAAAATCAACATTTAAGGTTAATTTAAGAGTATGCACTTTTGTCACCTACTCATGGAAGTGTATTCGTGGATTACAATTGTGAATTCAGATACACTTCCATCTCAAAAAATGCAATCAAATTTGTATTGAATTGCATTTTTTGAATACATGCTATTGGCAGTTGGGTTTTTAGTGCATTTATATTATATTGGTACTAAAAAAAAAAAAAAAAAAAAAGGTAGTGGGGCTTCCAGGCACTTCGTGCCCTCTAGCCCCGAAGATGTTTAGTATAACTTTGTCCGGACAAGTAAGGGTCTATCGTCGCTACAGGAAAAGTTACAGGCGTTCCAAGGAAGTATACTTTGAGAAGCCTTTCCCCCTTATAGAATGAGATAGGACGGTTATTTTACAAAACTGACAACACTTTGACCGAGTAGTTTTTTGTGCTGAACAAAAAGTGTCATATAAACATCTGTCAAAAACCGTTTTTTACTTCACTTAAAATGCCACGTAAGCTACGTAAGAATATACGTAAGAGGAAGAGAGCAGTGAAACATCCAATAGTAAAACTGACACCACAACAACAGTTGCAACAACAAATGATGAATGACCCCACTATGTTGCAACAAATGTCAAGCAACCCTATGCTTTTAAACCGAGTTATTGGTGCACAAAGTGGAGGTTTAAGAGCGGCACTTTTAGCGAAAATGGCAGGCTATGGTGGAGCTGCAGACGGAACAGCTTATAACCCTCAAAGTCAAATGAATTTGAGTTCACTCAAAAATCAAATAACAGATGTCAAAAAGTCAAACATAGACATACAGAAACAAATAAGTGAAAACGAAAAGAAACTAGAATATGACAGACACACAAAGAAACTCAATGAGTTAAACGTAGAGAAAAAGAAGAAAGAAGAACAACTGAAAGAACTAAGTACAGAGGAATATGCGAAAAAAGTGTCAGAAAAAGCAGCAGAAGTAGCAAAAATGGAACAAGATGTTATAAATTTGAAAAACCATACTACTCAATATAAAGTACTGAAAGATGAAGAAATAAAACAAAAAGCCCTGAAGACATATATGGATAGCGATGAGTATAAAAAAGAAGTTGAAGCAAATGTAAAGGCAGAAAAACTTTTACAGTTGCAAAACCAAACCGTACAGTATGAAAACTTAGCACAAGAAAGTAAAAATAACGACGCAGCCATGCAAAAGGCAATGAAAAGCGCAGAATATATAAAAGCTAATAATGACTGGTTAGATGCCCAAGCCAACGCCAAAGCAGCCCAACTTATAGGGTCAATAAGGACAAAAATACAAGCGGATGAAGACAGTTCAAATGAAGCTTTAATGAATGCTGACTTTAAGAACGCCTTCGAAGCTCTTCATAGTAAGGTGAAACTAGTGAACGACTTCTCATCTGGAAAGAAACTGAAGTCTGAAGGTTTCGACAAAGAGTTAAGAGAAGTAGCACAAAATATGACGAAAATAACAGATGCAGCAACGAGACAGGCAGTTCAAAGTGCCTATGACGCCGTTAGAGCAACTGTTGTGGAAAGTCAAGAAAAAGAGTTACAACAGACCAAAACAGACCTAGTAAATGCTTTCTTAAAAACGAAAAGTCAGGTAGGACATTATGCTGCAGATGGAACATATGTGCCAGCTGGTGGAACTTATATACCAGCTGGTGGAACTTATATACTAGCTAGTGGAACTTATATACCACCAAACCCTCCAAGAGAAGCACCTGCACCAGGACTACCTAAAACATTTACATCGTCACATGGACACAGACACAGGCATGCACCAAAACCAACACAACAACCAACAGTTCAAAATCCAGCACAACAACCAACAGTTCAAAACACTGCACCACAACCAACAGTTCAAAACACTGCACCACAACCAACAGTTCAAAACACTACACCACAACCAACAGTTCAAAACACTGCACCACAACAACCACAAACAGAGCAAGGACATAAAAGAAGTAGAGAACAAGGAAACCAAGAATTCTTAAAAATGCTTAGGGAAGACTATGGTTACCCAGATACTCTTGACTTTAGTGACAGATATAAAGAAGCTATTAGAAAGTTCAAGGAAGGAAATACTGACCCGAACCTATTTAGCTTTATGGTTCAGCACCAAATGGGATATAATTTCAAACCTGGAAAATACAAGCTCGCTAAGGGATATGATTTAATAGCATATCATCCAAATGACATGAATGAATTTACTCCGAGATATTTGGTGTCAGAGCTAAATGATAATTCAACTCTCTTCATGAAACGCGTAAAAAATAGAGACGGAACGAAAGAAGAAAGGTTTATGAGTCCGGATGACTTAGATAGGGAACTTTTTAAAAACGGTCTCGGAATATATGAAATGCCACCAGATGAGGTACAAGAAACTCCACAGGAAGAAGTTCAGATACAAACAGACATGGAAGAAATAGTTCAGCAACAACAGCTAGAAGAGCCTGAAGGAAACGAACAAGTCCCTCCTTTGGAAACTAACTTCACAGAACTAGATGAAGATTTGGAACAGCCGAAAAATCTTGACCCTCAACAAGTGTATGCGGAGAATATGGAATCTTTCCAAGAGTCTAAGAAAAATTCGGCTGACATAGTAGAAGAATATCGAAAAATGTTCGCCGACATACAAAAGACTCCAACATCAGATGAAAATATTCAGCATAGAATGGAAGTACTGAAAGAAAATGTACGCAAATACAACAATCCTTTTTACTTACGACCATATAACGTTCAATCTTTGGCTGAACTCGGTGAAAATAAAAGGTTAAATTTCAACAAAACATATAGAAATGAAACATTGTTTAAAGTTCATTCAGAACCTAACCAATATGGAAACAAACCTACTTTTGTTTCTGCAGACTATGGAACTACAATGAGATGGGTCATAAAGCTAATCCGGATAGGTGGTTCATAAACTTACAACCACAATTCCAAGAAGTTGTAGACGCAATGGAAGTGAATGGTGAACCAGATATAGCTGGTATTTTCAGCGCGGCTTTAATGCCATTGAAAGATATGAAACATGCAGATATTTTGGACCAGTATGAAATGAACATGGCTGATGGAAATATAACACCTGACGTTCTAGAACATTTATCTCAAAGAACTACACAGAACCATAGAGATGGTATATTTGGTGAAGAGTTTAGAAAGAAAGTTAGGGAGAGAGAAGGAAGAGAACCTATTGTACATGACCTTGCAAACGAAAGTTTACAAAATGTCATAAAAACTTACTTTGCAGACAATGAACCGAGAAGGGATGAATATTTAAGAAAACTCAAATGGACAGTACCAAATGAAATGTTAGTATTGAAAAACATGTTCCTTGACAAAATAAAACCAACTACAGAAATAAATGACGCAAGACTGAAACATTGGGTAAAAGCTTTCCCATTCACAAAAGATATTATTGGTAACATGGAAAGAAAACCAGAATGGCTACAAAAACATATATTTGGAAACGAGCTTATTCCATATGGACAAGCTCTGTTTGAAGAGCTTGAACCGGAAACTCAGGAAAGAGTCATGCAAACAATACGCGAAGACTCAAATACAAACTATGACAAAATCTTTCTAGGATATAGGTTACCTGAGATGGGCGACCAGAGCCCAAAGGCAAAAAGGACATGGGAAATTTACAACATACTAGGTGAACATGAGGCAAAGATGCAACGACTTGAAGCAGAGGGCAAGTTACCAAAAGCGACACCAAAGAAGAAGAGTAGAACAAAGTGAAAGTAGTGAAGAAGTAACTTCATCTAGTGAAAGTAGTGGCAATGAAGGAAAAAGAAGAGTTGAAAACTCAGTCAGGAAGAAAGTAAAGCTTGGTCCGAGTGGGTTCTATTATGACATATAAATCCAACTATTCTATATTTTTACCCATATGAAATGTACGCCGCTCAGAATATAACGCCAACAGTTTTGGATGCCATGAACGGAAATGTTTCCGAATGGTATAACGAATGCGACAATGCCATTAGAAGGTCAGAAATAGTTCCTGGAACTTACGAATATACAACTGCTGTTTCTTATGGAAACGTAGGTGAGTTTGGAGAAGGTTCTTCAACAACAGTAGATATTGCTTGCGACAGGTTTCATATTATTTCTATTGACAACTCATTCTTATACGTGGAACAAGACATTGAAATAAAACCTTCTGCCAAGTTGTCTGACAAGAAAGGTTGCAATGGAATTTTCTATGTCGGATACCAATATGCTCCAGAAGTTTTCATGGGATATAAGATATATTCTAACTCTGACTTAGTTCAAACAGTAACATGGGCAAACTATGAATGGTTCGCTTTGAGAAACTCAGTACAACCACAAGCTAGAGAACAAACAGACCAGTATGCAAATATTGAGAAAATAAGAAGACTTGACCCTAACGTTCCAGGAGTTTATGTTAACCTTTCTGGTTCAGATGGAACTGCTGCCACTAAAGTAAAACTGAAACTTAGAGTTCCTTTGTCATCTTTCCTCATCTTCAGGTTTTTAAGATACTTGCCAAACTGGGCAGGAAAAATTTCTATTGAACTTACTCCAAGCAAAAATAACTTAGTCATTGCACCAACACAAGACCCATTCAGCATTACTGTAGCTGGAACTGGTGGAGCCAAGTTCTGTGACTTTTGCAAAGACAAAGTTGACTTAGACTTTGGTTTCTCAAACTTCAACAATGAAGTAAACTATTATTTCAATGCTGCTGGAACTGCTTGGACCCAGTTAAGTTCACATGCGAAAAGTTTGAATGCAAGAGAATAGAAAGCAGACTTGCAGTCTATATGTTGGACCCAGATATTTCAAATGCTTTAGCTGCCAAATATATTGCAGTTCCACTTATGTTCCCTATACACCAAATATCTGTCAAAGACTTTGCAGGTGAAGTTGGAAACCAAAGTGCTGACCCAGGTGCAAGAACAGATATTGCTTTAACAACTGCAATGAAACATGCAGATACTATGTTTGTACTGTTCAGACGAACTATAAATGACTATTCTTGTTTCTACAACCCTGGTATTAAATATCATATAAACATAGATGGCAAATATTATCCAAGAGAAGAATATTCTACAGTTGAGGATATGAGGTCATACAACTTGACATTAGATGCTATGAACTTTAACAACAACTTCACAACAACCATTAACCCTGAAATGCAAAGTTCTATTATGCCATATGTGAAAGTATGGACTCATACAGGAGGTCAAAAAACTCAATATACAAATGGAGACCGTTCAAACTTTTGGCTTGGCATTCCATTTGCTGACTCAGAAGACTTTATGGGTGGTATTTCAACTGTTGGTACTGTACAAATACAATATACTGGTGACAGAGACGGTCCAGATGAACTGAGAGCAAAGAAGTTTACAAAACCAATAGCACTTTTCACGGAAGATGCTCTTTTGAAGATTCGTTCGATGAAACCTGCTGGGGCTCCTCAGATTGGCATAACGACAGCTTCCATCGAGCAGATTTGGCAGCAGGTCAGTAAGTTGTTCTTGAACTGACTTCTCTCCGTCAAATATTGACAGTACGCCAGTTTTGACATAATATTGTAAGATAAACTTACCTTTAGAAATATCTGTAAGTTTTGTTGTTATATTTTTGTCAACGTCAAGAACTTTCACCATTTCAGTTATACCAACTTTCTTTGCTTTATGGAAATATTTTGGTTCAGCAAATATTGCTATTCTATAACATTTACCATTGTTTGTATAAAGAACTATTCTGTCAATGTATTTGTATTGTTTGTGTGTGTAAACTTTGTTCTGCTTCAATTCGAAGAGATACTCGAATACGTCCATCTTTTTATTCTAAATAAAATGTCATTTCCGAAAAATAGAAGCGTGAGTGTTTCAAAAGGTTTAATGGCGGTGGCAGATGTGAAGTTAAATTCACCAACTCAAACAAACAGTCAAAGTGTTATTGTCAATGTCAAAGACAGAGATGTTGAAGTGGGGAAACCATACGAAGACGAAGATGGTATAACAATTGTTCCTGTAAAAGAACAACCAACATATCCTGAAGTTAGCAGAGACTTAAGTTCTGTTGCAGATATTCGAAACGACTACCAACAACTGAAAGACAAACTTCAAACTCAGGAGAAGATTTGTCAAGCTTTAAGTATAATGTTAAACTTGGTCGAACACAACCGAGTGTGGTAGAATTTACGAAAAAGTGACACTTAACCTTAAATTTCCAAACACTATTTTTTGATTGTATTTTGTTATTTATATATTTATATATGTATATTTATATATGTATATTTATATATGTATATTTATATATGTATATTTATATATGTATATTTATATATGTATATTTATATATGTATATTTATATATGTATATTTATATATGTATATTTATATATGTATATTTATATATGTATATTTATATATGTATATTTATATATGTATATTTATATATGTATATTTATATATGTATATTTATATATGTATATTTATATATGTATATTTATAATTTATATATGTATATTTATATATGTATATTTATATATGTATATTTATATATATATTTATATATGTATATTTATATATGTATATTTATATATGTATATTTATATATGTATATTTATATATGTATATTTATATATGTATATTTATATATGTATATTTATATATGTATATTTATATATGTATATTTATATATGTATATTTATATATGTATATTTATATATGTATATATTTATATATGTATATATGCATGTATTTATATATGTATATTTATTTAAAAAAATTAAAATAATATAATTAAAATTTATTTATATTTTAAATTTCATACTGATCTTCGATTCCAATTTGTGAATTGATATCATTAACAATTGAATTTCGGTGCACCCCTATGAGAGCGCTGGCGACCGAAACACCACTAGTAAGATTGTGTATTAGAAACTGCTTCATGCTGTGTTGAGTAAGCTTCGATGTCTTTGTAGGATAGCTTCTGAGAGCGAAACAAGATAGTGTTGAAAAAATTTTGAAAATCTGAGAGACTGTGCAAGAGCCAACGACCAAAACACACCAGTTAAGATACAGCAGTAGTAGCTGCTTCATGCTGCATTGAGTATTGTTGAATAATTTGAAGTAGTGGTTTTTGAAATCAGCACCCCTATGAGAGCGCTGGCGACGAAACACCACTAGTAAGATTGTGTATTAGAAACTGCTTCATGCTGTGTTGAGTAAGCTTCGATGTCTTTGTAGGATAGCTTTTCTGAGAGCGAAACAAGATAGTGTTGAAAAAATTTTTGAAAATCTGAGAGACTGTGCAAGAGCCAACGACCAAAACACTACCAGTAAGATACAGCAGTAGTAGCTGCTTCATCTGCATTGAGTATTGTTGAACTAATTTGAAGTAGTGGTTTTTGAAATCAGCACCCCTATGAGAGCGCTGGCGACCGAAACACCACTAGTAAGATTGTGTATTAGAAACTGCTTCATGCTGTGTTGAGTAAGCTTCGATATCTTTATCAGACCACCTTTAAATTAACCACTCACATTCTCACTGTGGTCCATCTAAAATTTGTAAACTTTATGACATAAAATTATATTATATGCAGGATCCCACCTATTACTTAATCTTTTTGGAATAAATGTTTTATAATATTTATCGATTGATTGTAATTTTTTGTATAAAAAAAGTTTTTTATTTATATTAAAAATATATTCGGTTAATGATATTATCTTATAATTTGTAAATAAATCTAGTAATAAAATAACTTTAATAGTTGGTGTCACTTTTTCGAAAATTCTGGTTTTTTCACAACTGAAAGACAAACTTCAAACTCAGGAGAAGATTTGTCAAGCTTTAAGTATAATGTTAAACTTGGTCGAACACAACCCTGTAAAAGTGAACTCATATGTCATTGCACCTCATGAAGTTTTGAAAGAACTATTGAAACTTTTGACAGAGGCAGACGATATAAACATCAAAGAAATAGAACCCGACATTGGTTGCTGTGGTGTTTCATATAATGTCATTGACAAGATATACGTTATGAAAGGAGGTGAAACGTTGAACTTAACAGTATAGTTTCCCAGACGTCATAAAAATATTTGACGACCACAACATTTCATTAAAATTTATTTGCTAAGTAAATGGCAGAAGATATAATGGTTTATACTATTACGACTAAAAAACCCCGAGTCATATAATTCTATAACAACAAACTTACAAAGTCCTCAAGGACGATATTGTAAACTAACCTTAAACACAATGACGACTAAAGCCTGTTTTGCTCTTTTGACACCAGAAGACTTTATTGTTGTGAATGGTAAAAAATACTCCTTTGAAGATACTTACTCAGATATACCCACCAACAGGTTTTGTTGACTTATTTAATACTTTAAGTACGGGTGTAACATGTGCTGCAACTAGAGCAGGTTTCATTATGTTTGGATGTCCGACTGAGTTTACTATAAACGATATGAGCTATAATACAAAACTTATTTCTGGTTTTTACTACCAACAGTTTCCTATAACAGGAAAAGGTGTCATACAAGGAATGTCTATTCCATTGACATTAAGCACACCAATCTTATATATTGTTTCAAACTTAGGTTCAAAGCGTTATTCGAATGTCGACAGAAACTATTATGACCAAAAGATACTTATGCGTATAAACAATACTTTCTCTGCTGGTTTGCCTATTGTTCATTCGAATGCAGAATTTTCAACCTTAGTGAACTCAAACACTTTGGCAGTATAACGTTGACATTAGTTGACGCAAACTTTGTTCCTTAAAACTTTTATGTCCTATGTATTTGTCAATGACGGCAGGAAAGTTTCGAATTGGAAGATGCAACTGGTGAAAGTATTGTATTACAAGAACAACTTCAACAACAAATAGCTCAAGAACAACAAATCAACAAATGCAACAACAAAGTCAAGAATAAAAAAAATATTTTTTTATTTTTATAAAAATGTACAGAATAGATGTTTCAGATTTTTATGACTTCCAAGCATTCAGAAATATGTGTCCATTTAGAGACTATAACAAAGCAGTCGAGAATTTGAAACGTTTAGTCATTTATGTCGACTCTGCCCCAGAATGTTATGTTATGAAAGAATGGGATGTAGTCTTTAACAAACCTAAAGCGACAATAGTTTCAGAACAAGAATGTAGACAGAAACTTAAGAAAATAAAAGTTGTACAAGTTGGAATGAAGATGTTAGATGCTTGGGATATCTTATTGTCAAAGTTAGAAGATTTTTCAGTTCGAGGTATAAAGTTCTATACACCTTCTCCAAACTTCTATTCTATCTTCACTGGATATAAATACGAACAAGTAGAATGGAAACACAGTATTATAGAAGCTTGGTTAGACCATGTCAAAGAAATTATATGCAATGGAAACGAAAAGGTTTATGAGTATATCTTATGTTGGTTTGCAAACATCTTACAACATCCAAGTGCTAAAAATGAAACTGCTCTCATTATAATTGGAAAACAAGGAACAGGTAAGAACACATTCTTTACAGATATCTTGTGCAAACTGTTAGAGGGCTATTCGAATCCGAATATGACAAACTTAGAAAACATCTGTGGCAAGTTTAACTCCTCAATAGAGAATATGAAACTTATAGTTTGCAATGAACTTCAAAGTATAGATACAACAAAAGTTTTGAACTCAGATGCTTTGAAGAGTCTTATAACAGACAAAGTTGGAGTTGTTGAAAGAAAGTATAAAGACCAAAGAGTTTGTGAAAATGTTGCAAACTTCATTATGGTTTCAAACAATGCTGTTCCGATGAAGTTAGAAAGTTCTGACAGAAGATATGTAGTTGTCAGAACGTCAGATTCTCATATGCAAGATACAGAATATTTTGACGACTTAGCAGAAACTTTGACATCTGACTTTTACAACCACTTGTTCTCATATTTTATGACATTAGATATTTCAAAGTTCAATCCAAGACAAATTCCACATACCGAAGAGAGACAAACATTGTTAGAAGCAAAAAGAGTGTATATGAACTGTTCATAGATGAAACTGACTTTGTGTCATTAGATGAAAGGTCATTGTACGATTCGTATAAACAATATTGTCAAGAATATGGTTATATGACAGCGTCTAAACGAACATTCTTGGCAAATGTCAAAAGTCTTTTAGACGTACAGAATGGTGTATATACAAAGAAAAATTTTTCTGAGTAAATTTAAAAAAAAATATTTTTTTATCCGATAGAAAAGATGACAAAATTCATCTCAGTAAATAAGTACATGTCAGGACTTAAAGAAGAACTAGACCCATTCACATATTTGAATGTTTATTTCTACCATTTTGAAAAGTCTTCATTCAGCAAAGTTTGGAACATCGAACCAGTTAAGTTTGCTATTGTGACTAAAAATGGTGCGAAATTTGAAGACTTAGACATAGAAGGTTTGTTAGCAGTCAAAGAAAGTTTTGACAGAAGGTTCTCAAACCTTAAAGAAGGCAAAGCATACAAACTTGTTATACCTTATGAACCAAAGAAAGCAGACGACTATGAATATTATGAGTCTAAAGTTGTAGAAGTTCAAGGTAAATTGGGTAAAAAGATTTTAGAGTCTAAGCCAGTGTTTACTCCTAAAGAGGAAGAGAACATTGACATTGACCCAGAAATGTTCTAAAAATAAAATTTTATTTTTACATGTCAAATTTCTTTTTCTCTGGAACTGGTTCAGTTCTTTCTTCTCTTCTTCTACTTTCTTTTCTTTCTTCTTCTTTTCTGGTGGAGTTATGTCAAATTTCTCCGAACCATATTTATGTAAAAGTTCTTTGTCCTTTAATAGCTCTTCTATTCTGTTTTCTATTTCATCTTCAAGAACAGCGCATGTGTCTTCTTTGCATTCTAAGAACTTTTGTTGGACTTCATCTTTCCAATCGGTGTCATCTCTGTCAACAAGTCTGTCATTGACAAATTTTAAGACTGCTCTGCTTAATGTTTTATGGTTCTTGTCATATTCCCAGAAACAGAACTTTAGAACAAATTCACCTTTCTTGTTTACACTATGTAAGATTTTATGGTCGACAGATGTTTGCTGTCGAAAAGCTTGTCTCGAATATAGATAGCGAAATCGCTAGACATTTTCTAAAAGATAAAAATTTTAATTTTTCTAAAAATATGTTAGAAAAAAAGTTTGCTGACATTGACAAGAAATTTGAGAATGTTTTAAACAAGAACAAGAGGAAGTTAGAAAATGCTCAGATAAAGCCTATACATGACAAGTTCTTATTTGCTCAGAATGGTATAACAGGTCTAATTGCACCACCTGGGTCGGGTAAGACTTTCACTTATCTTAAAATGGCTGCACAACAACAAGAACTAGATGAGAAGAACCCATTCTATGAGTTAGTTGTCATTTGTAGTACTTCTGGTCAATTTGACCAAACCGTCAATTCGTTCAAAGATATTATAAAGAAGTCTAAGTTAGTATGTATAAAAGACTCTGAGTTGTTAGATTGGATAAAGAAGTACCAAAGAAGAGTTTTGAAGTATAATGCTATAAATGAGTATATAAATTCTAAGTTTAAAGACCCAAATGAGGAAATGCAGAGAATATTAGAGAAGAAACACTTCAGAAACAAACAGAAAGAGATAGAATACATTTCGAAGAAATTGCAATCTTACGATTGGAAGACTTACCCTCATAGGTGTCTTCTTATTTTAGATGATTTCGCCTCTCATCCTTTGTTAAAGAACAGAGAACAAGATATGTGTCGAATTCTCAAGAAGCTCAGACACTTTAACATTTCAGTTGTCATTTGTGTACAGACAGCAAAGAGTTTAAGTAAGGATGTTAAAAGAATACTTACTGACATTATACTTTTCCCCGGATTGTCCGAAGACGATTTCATGGAACTTATGAAAGAGTCCATGGCAGGTAAGTTTGACAGACATGAACTCTGGAGAAGTATAAAGTCATACAAGACCCTCATACTTCTTTCAGAATTCATATCTACGCAAACAAAGTTCAAATTGTAAAAAGTCAAGCTTGAAAAATAAATGGTTCATCTACCCTACTTGTTTGAAGTTGTCAAAATACTCTGTTATTTTTTCTTTCAGTAGCGGTAAGTCTTCTTTGAAGGTAAGTATTGTACAACCTTTAATATCATAGTGTTTGAGGTAAAGTATCTTGAACTATTTGTTTCACATCTTCATTTGGAGTCATTGAAATCGGTAAGTTTTCGCGATAGAACCAATTTCTGTCAGATTTGTAAATCTTAGCAAGGTCGTAAAAGCTTTTGTTGTTTCTTCTGACTAAATGCAACATAACCATATCTTTATCTTCTTCATTTTCCATCTCTTCAGTATAAATCATATACTTATAGTTCTTTTCCTTTCCTTTTGGTACCGAACGTGGTATTCTTTTCTGAATGACTTCATCTTTTGCTTGAAGTTTCTTTTCCATCTCTTCACGTTCTTGTCTATGAATTTCGTCAAGAAGTCTGTAAATATACCAAGCATAATGAGGCGAAGCCCACATTGCAACAGCATTTACAAGAAGTCTATGTACATACCAATCTCTCAAACCATTTGGCAAATTTTTACGATTTTCATGAGTTTTAGGCGACCCCGAAAAAAGTCGGTCTCGCTGTGCTTCGCTCAAAAGTTCTTGTGTGCTTTGGTTTTTGAACCAATCGTCTGTATGTTTGGTATCTGGAGCAAAACATGCTGTCAAAATACTTTGCATTTGGTACATATCGTCTTTGACCGAACGAATGAGACGGAGTTGTTTGTTAAACTGTATGTACTCGTATTCTTCATTTATAGCTTCATGGACTATAACTGTTGTTGTGTTCTCTGTTGTTGACATATCTGTCTTTACATACAAAATAAAAAAATATTTTATAAAAAACTAACTTTATTTTTTCTATCTTAAGGAAATTCACTGTTTTCATAGAGTTTTGGCGACTGGGGGTTTTTTACTTACTCGCTGTTCTTCACTGTTTTCATACGGAATCTCTTCTCTCGGTTTTCCGAGGGAAGAGATTCCATGTTTTGTCAAGACTTCATTGTAAATGACCAAAAATATATTTTATGTTAGCATGTTAGATCTAACCTCTTTTCTAACACGTTTTCTAACATGGTCTAAAACACACAAAACTCATGAAATTTCATACGGAATTCAGCAAAAATAAAGTTTATGTTAGCATGTTAGATCTAACACGTTTTCTAACCTCTTTTCTAACATGGTCTAAAACACACAAAACTCATGAATTTTGTGCTGAATTCAGCAAAAATATATTTTAGGGTAGATGGTTAGATCTAACCTCATTTCTACCCTCTTTTCTCACCTCTTTTTTTCACAACCGTTTTACATGGTAAACGTTATGAATTCGTGAGACTCTAAACAGTTTTGTAGCCTCTATTTCTTCTTTTAGTACATCGAATGTTTTAACAATGCCGAAAGTTTCTTTATACTTCTTCTTGACGTCAGATAGAAGGAAATCTTCTGCTGTTGGATAGTTTTTGTCAAGACTTCATTGTAAATGACCAAAAATATATTTTATGTTAGCATGTTAGATCTGACACGTTTTCTAACCTCTTTTCTAACATGGTCTAAAACACACAAAACTCATGAATTTTCAAGACTTCATCGAACTTAAATGTTTTTGTCAAGACTTTGTCATATGATTGCTTCTCTCGGTTTTCCGAGGGAAGAGATTCCATGTTTTGTCAAGACTTCATTGTAAATGACCAAAAATATATTTTATGTTAGCATGTTAGATCTAACACGTTTTCTAACCTCTTTTCTAACATAACTATTTACAAGCGTTTTACATGGTATATGTTGCGATGGTTCATGACTTTAAACAGCTTCGTAGCTTCTATTTCTTTGCTGAGGATATCAAAAGTTTTAACAATGCCGAAGGTTTCTTTATACTTCTTCTTGACGTCAGATAGAAGGAAATCGTCAGCAGTTGGATAGTTTTTGTTCAGAAATGCTAACATGTCCATTTTATTTTCTGCTGGTTTCTCTGCTTCTTTCTTTAAGTCAGCATAGTCGTTTCTCATACGTTCTATCTCTTTGACGGAGTAGTTATATCTCCTCATTGCTGCCTTACATTTAGAACATCGCGGCATCGTTTTTGCGTTATATTCTGAAACCTTACCTGCTAGAACAACTAAGGCGTCAATGGTTTTCTTTAACTCAAAAGCTGCTGGTTTTATCTGTTTATTCCATACTTTACCTCTTCTATCTTCATCTCTTATCTGCCATACACATTCTGCAACTAATGAAACAAAGTTGTCGTATGTCTTTAACTCCTCCGATTTATATTGTCAGAGATGTTCTTATATACCATGTCGCAATCTTTGTCCATAACCTTATGGTTGCAATGAAATCCTAGAAACTCATAGTTTACCTTACGAATGAACTTCTTTATTTCTACTGAGTCAGTTGCTTTGACTTCAATTTCGTCGAATTCAGGAATAGTGAGCTTTTGCTGCTGAATTTCAGGTAGTTTAGGCAAATGGTCAATAATGTCCTGCATTTCATAAAGATACTGTTCATTTGTTTCATCTTTCGCACTACAGTCTAAATTACTTGTTAACAGTTCTTGCTTTATCTTCTGGATTTTTGTTTCGAAAGTATATGAAGAAGGAATGAAGCTTTTCATCTCTACTAACATAGATGTTGGATTCATGACTAACGAGTTTGGTGCTGTTGTTTGTATTGCTGTTGTGCCGATTGTTGAAATCATATCTTTTATACAAAATAAAAAAATAAAAAAAAATAAAACTAACTTTATTTTTTTATTTCGGGAAAATTCATGAAAATTCAAGAGTTTTAGACCATGTTAGAAAACGTGTTAGAAAACATGTTAGATCTAACATTCTAACATAAACTTTATTTTTGGGTCCTTTACGCTCATTACGAAGAAGTCTTGACAAAACATTTACGAAGAAGTCATGAAAATTCAAGAGGTGAAAAAAGAGGTGAAAAAACATTTACGAAGAAGTCTTGACAAAACATTTACGAAGAAGTCATGAAAATTCAAGAGGGTAGAAAACGTGTTAGAAAACGTGTTAGATCTAACATTCTAACATAAACTTTATTTTTGGTGTAAATTTCATGAAAATTCAAGAGGTTAGAAAACGTGTTAGAAAACGTGTTAGAAAACGTGTTAGAAAACGTGTTAGATCTAACCATCTACCCGACATTCTCGTCAAATACAAAAAAATGAAAAAAATGACACTTTTTCATTAGATAACTGTTATTTTTTGACGAAGTGAACGTTTGCACTTCGTCAAAAAAATCCCTGAAATCATATCTTTTATACAAAAAAATACAAAAAAGTGTCATTTTTTCATTAGATAACTGTTATTTTTTGACGAAGTGAACGTTTGCACTTCGTCAAAAAAAATCCCTGAAATCATATCTTTTATACAAAAAAATACAAAAAAATACTCTTTTTTCATTAGATAACTGTTATTTTTTGACGAAGTGAACGTTTGCACTTCGTCAAAAAAATCCCTGAAATCATATCTTTTATACAAAAAAATACAAAAAAATGACACTAACTTTATTTTCTGACTTTCACAAAAGACCAAAAATAAACGCTTTACATGTATTTTTCAGCAACTTCGTCAAATAATTTTATAGCTTTATCTATCTCATCTACTTCAAACGTTTCTTTACCTTTTATGGGAGCACCATACATTTTCTCAAAAACTTCAAGCAGTTCTGTTTCAGCAGCTCTCATATCATTAACAAACACAACCTTGACTCTATTGACTGTAGAGTCATATCTTAGAGTTATATTATATGTTCTTCCTATCTTATATCTCTTTGTATTGAAGTCCTTCGGTTTCTGAACGATGTAAAGTAAGCCTTCACTGCAACGTTCCGTATCGAATGAACCATATGTTATGAAGTTATATCCAACAACTGGGTCTAACCATAACAAAACTATTGGTATAAGACTTTTGTCTATAAGATATGCTCTTGTTCCATAGAATCTTACCGATATCATAAGCTCAGGATTTCTTGTCAAAATTTTCTGAGTTGAAGCATTTATAACCCAGTGGTTTGTTTTCTTTCCAAATGGAGATAAAATGTCTGACAAAGAATATTTGTTGTATTTCTTTGAGTATCTTACGTTTAAATCACCTATTCTAACCAATTTGGTGTCATTGTCTATCTTTTTAACTGTTTCAAACTCAATGTTTGACATATCTGTTCTTACATACAAAATAAAAAAATAAATAAAAATAAAACTAATTTTATTTTTTCTATCTTAAGGAAATTCATGAAAATTCATGAGGTTAGAAAACGTGTTAGAAAACGTGTTAGATCTAACATTCTAACATAAACTTTATTTTTGGGTCCTTTACACTCATTACGAAGAAGTCTTGACAAAACATTTACGAAGAAGTCTTGACAAAACATTTACGAAGAAGTCTTGACAAAACATTTACGAAGAAGTCTTGACAAAACATTTACGAAGAAGTCATGACAAAACATTTACGAAGAAGTCTTGACAAATTCAAGAGGGTAGAAATGAGGTTAGATCTAACCTTCTACCCTAAATTATATTTTTGGGTCCTTTACACTCATTACGAAGAAGTCTTGACAAAACATTTACGAAGAAGTCTTGACA